CATAAGATTATAAGAATCTCTTGACAATATAGCACTATAATTTACTTATTTTGACATTGTACAGCCACAGTCCCCAATCTTTTGGGCACCAGGGACCGGTTCTGAGGAGACAGGCTTTTCTGCAGACCGAAGGGGGCGTCGTTTCATATTCTACCTGCATCCCGCGGATGGGTTTGCTTGTTTGCGTGGCCTGGTTTCTGGCATGCCATGGAGCAGTGCCGGTCCATCGACCCCTGTTGTACAGTCAATAATTTAGCATTTTTTAATTTTTGGAAACTTTTTACTATTCACATATATATCAAATTTTCAATATTTAAATAAAATGCCACTGAAATATCATCAACTCTATTGCATGTTTGTGAGATAAATGTTTCAATCCTATTAAGTCATCTTAATAATAGTGTTGGAAAAGTAATGTTATACATTAAAAGGTCGAAGAAAGGAAAAATCAGTGCACAGCAATTATCCTTGACTTCTACATTATTGTTGCAATTAATAACTAGAAATTGTTGCTTTAACACTTTTTCTTTGAATTTTCTGAATTTAGCAAAGCATCTCTCATCCTGAGGGCCCATTTTAAATTAAAAAAAAATCACAGGAATTTTTAAATAGTTTGAACTTCCAAATGAAAGTTCTCAAATGGAGGTGCAAAATGTTCTTAAGGTGATATATCTTTGTTACTTTTAAAGTGAGAATAATTCTGCACAGTCTTTTTCCCACATTGTTTTTCTTAAAAAGAAAAGCTTTATAATATGCAGTAAGATTACTCAGTTGCTATTTCAGTGAGAATTGGTTTCTATTCTACTATTGCATTTGCAGCAAATGCTGCATAAAGCAAATTGTTTTTTGTATATAGACGTATCATAAAAGCAGCGTTTAGCAAGAGAAAGAGGCAAGAGAAGACCATGGGAGATTAAAATATCATAGCTGTTTCATCAAATAAGTGTGACTGTTCACTATTGACTTAGGGCCTCACCCTATATTACTTTCAGCAATTGATTTCTGAGTCCACAAAGGTAGAGAAATAGCAGACTGTGCATTGTAACTTGAAGACGTTCAAGATATAATTGGTTAACAAATTTAATAAGCCACAGTTTTAACATATAGCCATTATTCAATAAATTAAAGTGTACTTTCAACTTGAGAATTGATTGCCAGATACAAAGAGATTGTAAAAATGGTGCCACAAAAACAAGGACAAGTAGAGCTGTCTAATTATAATACTGGAAATGCTTATACATTGGAGAGCTTTGAAGCCTCTGCTTGCCCATTTAAATGGATAAATTTCAGTTATTCCTGTGCAAGGATAAAATCTACAGGGATGAGTAACAGAGAACATACTTGTTTGATATTTGTCCACAGTGACTTGTAAAATATTCATTTGATTCTCATTTGTAATCGAAATAGTTTTGAGTTGTGTGGTGTGTCAAAACAACTATAAAATCTCAGTAAAAGGTGCAACTGCTGTATGGAGTTGCTGAGAGGTAACATGTACTCTTCTGTAGGCCCCAAAGCACCTTTTCTCCTTTGAAGCAGAAGTGCTGCATAAGCTCTAAAATAAGTAAGAATAAGATAATATGAATCCCTTTAAATATCCTTTTTTCAAGCTACATAGTCTCCCTCCCACTACACAGTTGGAATTTAGTTGGAATTTCATGTTGCTTTGAGAATGAAGTGGGGAGAAAAATCCTATAACAGACGTCAAAATAGGCATATCTTAGTTAAGAAGTAAAGAATACTCTCTTAAAGCTTTTCCTAAATCCATCTGTTATATGATACAGAATAATTTGCTTTGGTGGTATTCAATTCCCCAAAAATGTTAAGTGTGGTCCAGGAGTGAAATCTACTTACCTTCCCTACCGGTTTGGAAGTGTGCGCTATTGTCACATCTGATTTTTGACCCTCTGCACATACGCAGAGGGTCAAAAATGGGTTACTTCCTGGTTAAAACCAGGAAGTAACGACATCAGGAAGGGTGGGCGGAGTCACGTGCTGCCGCTGCTACTGGTTCACCGAACCACACGCCGCTGGAGCAACCGGTGTGTGTGAGCCAGACAGACAGGATTTTTTTTCGAACCAGTTGATTTGTTAGGATTATTTTTAAGGTGAGATGATCAAGCAAAGAAATAGGGTAGCAATCTATCCCTGGAAAAGATATTTTCTCACATTTGAGAAAACATGGAATGTCTGAACAATGTTAATCTCTTCATTGTTGTTCGTTATTCTATCAGTGGGATTTGCTGTTATAATTAATCATGCGTTCCTGCCTTATTTAAAATACTTAGCACAACCAAGCTTCCTTTCTACCTGACAGGGTTGATCCCCTTTAAACTGCAATATTGCACTAATTTTCATCAGTTTAAACTGATTATACTATTCAAATTGATGAATAATTGATGGACCTTCTTTGGATGATTCATGATTCATTTTCTTTATTTAGACTTATTCTGTGACTCTGATCCTGAATTTATATTTTTATACTGTCTCCTGGATTTGTCTCTGGATTGCACTCCAGCTGAGGGCCCTTGGCAGGATGCTGTTCCTCTGTATCGGTCTGTGTATTGGAGATGCTTGCACAAGCTGTTGGAGAGCCACTTCTTAAAGCAACCTTCTGAACCTGCTAATTGGAGCAGAGAGGCATCCACATCTTTCAAAGGCTTGACTTTGACACTGATGCTTTTTCTTGGTCTTCTCAGTATGAAAGTACATGTACCCAAGGCATTGCTGCCTTGATTTGCTTTGATCCAATGGCATTCATGCTCAAGTAAAAAAAAAAACAGTAAAGTACTGTGAAGCAGCCAAGCTCATCCTTTGAAAATTGTGGCTGCCTCAAAGCTCTTGAGTAATCATTTTAAAGAATTGCTTTGAATGGTTTTCAGAAACCTACATTAAATACTGTATCTTGTTTCTAATATTTGCCATGGTCCCCATCCACATAGTGATGGACTGGACATGATTTACATGTTATATTTGTATATTTGCAGTTCAGATATCCATCCTTAATGAAGAGTAAATCACTTTGATTTCATGTTTCTTTTGGCGCAATGTTAAAAACAAGACAGATGATTACACTAAAATGTTTAATTAGCTACAGTGGTGTAAAATTATGCACAGCATACAAGCTGAGACCTTCCAAATTATAGTTTCCTTATAAAGTGTAAGATACACAGTGTATATTTATAAATTAAGAATTCTGTCACTGTTGTATAATTTGTAATTAACCATTTAAAAACTAGTATGAATTGTGACGCATGAATTTTTTGTTCTTTTTTTGTTTGAAGTCATTTGCTTTATATGTTTTGTTGCTTTGAAGTGCTTTATAAACTATATAATTATAAATTGCATGCCTTTCTATAAATGCTTTACTATAATGAGTCGTTACAATAAGGAAACCTAAAATACATATGTACTGTATAGGTAGTCTTCAACTTAATAGTTTGTTCAGTGATTGTTCAAAGTTAAAACGGTACTGAAAAAAGTGACTTGTGACCATTTCTCATACTTATAACCATTGCAACATTCCATGATCATGTGATCAAAATTCAGAGTTTGGCAACTGACTCATATATATGATGGTTGTGGGGTCCCAGGATCATATGTCCACCTTTTGCTACCTTCTCACAAGCAAAGTCAATGGGGAAATCAGATTCACTTAACAACCATGTCACTAATTTAACATTTGCAGTGATTCATTTAATAACTGTGGCAATAAAGGTTGTAAAATTGGGCAAAATTCACTTAAATTTCTCATTTAACAACATAAATTTTGGGCTGAATTGTAGTCATAAATTGAGGACTACCTGTACTTCATTCCCACATTAGCAAATAATAGTGAATGTATGGGGAGTAATAGAAATTGAAGAAATGACCTGGACTTTTTCCATATCATTCTTGTAGCTATCATTTTTAAACTCATTTTCAGGTCAGAAAATGTCAGATAAAGCTTACATCTCTTTCATAATATCTTTGAAACACGGTGTATCTCTAGAGGCAGACACTCTTAAAATCAACTTCTAAGTCCATTCTTCAAAAATATTCTTCAATATGCTCAGTGTTAAAATATTTTGCTTCATTCTGTATTAGTTAATGAAATGTGTTGTTCTCCTTCAATTGTAGTCTTTAATTCCTTCTGGTTCCCTCTAGTGGCCTTCAATCTCTCATACTATTTTTTTTAAGAGAATTCAAAACAAAAACATTTTCCACAGGAAGGATTCTTATAATTAAATCCAAAATCTTATTTCAAATCCATCTGGATTTTTAGTCCATTTTTAACTATCTGAAATAAAAGTTCTAATCTCTCTTTTGGTGTATATTCCAAAGAATTTTTTTGCTTAGTCCTTAAATTTGTATTTAAAATGTCTTTTGCTAAGGATTGAAGGAAATTTACCAGTGGTCTACAACATGTTGATCCACAACCTCATAACTGAAAATCAGTTAACAAGCAATTACTGAAAGTGATTAGAAAAGGAAGTATGCAAACCCAATATATTTTTGAAAGTGCTCAAAAGATGGTTATCTCCATGTTTCTCATACCTAAACTCACTGCCGTTTGGTCTCCTCTGAACAGAAACTGTATGGTGCATTTGTGGGTTGTCTTAACTCTTTTCTTTGTCTGAAAAGGAATTATATACTTGCTGGCTCTTCATTCTGCTGTGATGGTTGAGTTTGCCTTTATCCATTTCTTCCTCATACGTTCCAATGTTACATTGGAGATACCAAAAACAATAAACAAACAAACAAACAAATCTGTGTGATGTCTTAATAATTAAATGGGATATAAAAATAAGAAACCAAGAAAATGACTTTGATGATTTTCTTATATTGGATTTACAAAAGAAACTTGTTCAAGCTTTGAAGAATTTTCTGAGAAGGGGCAAAGAAAAAAAATGAAAAGAAATAAAGAACATTATTTGAAGACAATAAAGATTAGGATTGTTAAAAGTAAAAGGAAGGAATATAAAGCAGTTTTATTTGATCAAGGTTAAAATAGATATGTAAACATGTGAATTCACAGCTGCCAGTATTTAAGTTGGTGTTGGCCTTCATACACATTGAGTTCTTCCTGAGAAACAAGAATATAAAAATGTATCAGTGTAGTATATGTGTGAATCCAAGCACTGTGAACTTTAGTTGGAAACTCTATCAATGTGCAAATTTTCTAAGTGCTGTCCAAGATATTTTGGTATTGCACCCAGTGTGTTGATCACCAGTGGGATCTCCACAGCGGGTTTATGCCATAATCTTTCAACTTTGATTTTCAGATCTTGATACTTTAAAATAACAGAATAATACAGTTGGAAGTAACCTTGGAGGTCTTCTAATCCAACTCCCTGCTCAAGAAGAAGCTCTATACCATTTCAGACAAATAGTTGTCCAATATCTTCTTAAAATCCTAGACTGTTGTAGCATCTACTACTTACTGTGGTGAGCCATTACATTGACTAATTATTCCAAATGACAGGAATTTTTTTCTTATTTTCTTAATTTTCTATGTTGACAATATGTAAATTGGTTGTTTCCATTTACATCTTATTAATCAGAAGTTGATCTTTTGTATCTCTGCTTTTTCTTTCATTTCCTTTCTGTTCTACTGGAAGGATGTTATTTCCTTCTAAATAATCTTGGATAAATCCAATCAAATCTTTATTTACTTTGATGGAGAATTAGTTTGCGTCTCAGTATAAAGAAAGACAGCACAGCTGGAGATTTAGTGTTACAACTTTAACATTAGTATTGCTTAAACATTAGTATTGCTTAAAAATTTGGGTATTCCTGTAGTTCAGGCATGGGCAATTAATTTTCCCAAGGGGCCGCCTGAAAATCTGGGACTGTTCTGGAGGGCTGCCATCCTCTCATGCCACTGCCACTGCCGCCCTCATCCACCAGCCATTGCACGCCAGACAGGGACAGTCAAATGTGGCCTGTGGGCCATAAAATGCTCTGGTCTGCTGTAGCTGTACTACTCAATATTAAGGGCATGAAGGATGTTCACAGTGTATTCCATAAAGTTTTTAGTCTTCAAGCTGAAATACTGAAGAAATGATTGTTCATTTTCACCAACAAGCAAAGCCTCCCAAATACAGGTAGTCCTTATGACCACAATTGAAACATTGGTTAAGTAAATTTTCTCTATTTTATGACTTTTCTTGCCACCGTTGTTAAGTGAATCACTGAAGATGTTAAGTTAGGAACATGGATGTTAAATGAATCTGGCTTCCCCATTGACTTCGTTTGTCAGAAGGTCACCATGACCCCAGGACACTGCAACGGTCATAAATATGAGTCAGTTGCTAAGTGTCTGAATTTTGATCATGTGACCATGGGGAAGCTGCAACAGTCATAAATATAAAAAATGATCATAAGTCACTTTCTTCTGTGCTGTTGTAATTTCTAATGGTCATTAAGTGAACTGTTGTAAGTTGAAGACTACCTGTAATTAACTGATTATAATACAACAGGAAAAAAGCATCTTTCTGGATCTTCACTGTTCAAATATATTTCTTTGGAACAGAAAGTTCATAATAAGTATATATTACCATTTTATTTCAGTCTTAAAGTAGTGGCAGTTACTGTAGCAGTATTCTGATCTTTCATATATGTATACTGTACATCAATTTCTTTAATATATTTTTAAATTTCTTTTATATTAATACTTTAAAGGTGCTTTTATAATGCAGTCCTACTTCTAGTTGGTCGCTTATAGGTTTGTACAAAATATGATTCATACTATGAGTACATTACGTAGCAGAGCATGTTACGTAGCAGAGCAGAGTCAGGTTTCACCTAATCTGTACTTGTACCTTTGCCTAGATGTAAAACCTTGCTTTTGTCCACATTAAGTTTCATGTTGTTGGATAGGACCCATTGTTCAAGTCTGTTAAGGTCTTTTTGGATCTTGAGCCTATCTTCTGGGCTATTGCCTATATCTGCAGGTTTGGTGTCATTTGCAAGTTTGATGAGTTCTCCTTCTGTTCCCTTATCTAAGTCATTTATGAAAATATTGAAGGAGTACTGGGCCTAAGATGGAACCTTGTAGTACCCCACTGCTTATTTTCATCCATGTAGACATAATACCATTAAGGACTACTCTTTGAGTATGGTTTGTCAGCCAATTACAAATCCATCTGGTGGTGATACTATCTATCCCACATTTTTCTAGTTTACCAAGAAGTAGGTTGTAGTCTACTTTGTCTAATGCCTTGCTGAAAGTCTAAGTATTCAATGTCCACAGCATTTCGCTGGTCTACTAATGTAGTCACTCTGTCAAAGAATGAAATAAGATAGGTTTGGCATGATCTGTTTTTAACAAGCCCATGCTGGATACTAGTTATAATTGTATTTGTTTCTAGATGTTCATAGATCTGTTTTTTGATTATTTTTTCCGGTATCTTTCCCAGTATTGATGTTAAGCTGATTGGTTTGTAGTTTCCTGAGTCTGGTTTTTTCCTTTTCTTTTGAAGAGGGGGAACCATCAGCTCTTTTCCAATCCTCTGGTAGTTCCCCAGTGCTCCAAAAATTTTTATAGATAGAATACAATGGTTTTGAGATAACATTTGCCAACTTCTTCAGAACTCTGAAATGTAATCCATCAGGTCCTGGTGATTTATATTCATCAAGATCAGACAGGTGTTTTCTAACCATTTTCTTGGTTATTTTAACTTTTATTTCTAGTCTGTCTTTTACAGTTATGTGTTTGGGGGATTGGACTATAGTTTCTTTTTGTGTGAAGACTGATGCAGAGAATGAGTTAAGCAGCTCTGCTTTCTCTCTACTGCCTGTTACTTCCTTACCATCTTCTCTTTTTAGTGGACTGTTTCCTTAACTATTTCCTTGTTATTTATATTTTGAAAGAAAGTTTTTAAAAATTATCTTCGACTTCTGTTGCAAGTCTTTGTTCATTCTGAGCCTTTGCTTTCCTGACTTCACCTTTGCAGATTCAGGCTATCTGCTGATATTCTGCCTTAGTTATGTGTCCCTCTTTCCATTTTTTGTACTTATGCTTTTTGTCTTTCAGTTTATCAGACAGATATTTGTGCAGTCATGCTGGCTTCCTTTTGGATTTCTTGTTTTTCTTTTTCAGTAAGAACTGAAAAAGAAAACTTGTAGACTGTTTAGAAAACTTCCAAGTACTTGTGCTGCATCCTCCCTTCCCATTTTAGCCTTTTTCACTGTACGGCACAGCAGAGTTGCCAATAAGGTCTCAACTTTTAAACAGGAGTAGAAGGAAACAGGAAACACATGTTTTGGAAGCTCTGCAGCCACCAGCAAACATAGTGAAGCAGATGAATAAAAGAAGGTATTTTTTTTCTTCAAAGGGAAACAACAGCCAGAATCCAAGAAAAAAAAATCATGTTTGCTTTTTCCAATTTACCCAACATGTTGGCCTTCCAAAAGATCCTTGAAACATAACTTGTCAACTAGTTTGGGGAGTCCATGGTTAAGTGCAACCTGTTAGATGATTGTATGAGAGTGAATGGAATGCACTCTGTATGTTTTCCTAAAATTCATTTGTTTTAATTTAAATTGGTTGCTTAATGGTTTATATATATATATAGGTGGTTTATAATGGTTTATATATTCTTGATTGTAGTATGTATAATCAAGTATGTACAACCACTTAGTAACTTTGTATGATTGGTGGCTATACAAATATGATTGATTAAATACATATTATCTTTTGGCATTGAATTTGACCTCTGGCTAGTAGCCCTGTAGATTTCTACAATGTTAATATTATGAATAAAAAAATAATTGCAAAAATATAATTGTAATAGGTGGTACATGAAATAGGTGGATAGATAAAATACAGTTACTGACTTAAATGTTTCCTACCTTGTTCTCTAGAACTTTTGAGTTGCTGCTGCTGAATTCTGGCAGCAAATAGTTTAGAAATGACCCTGCAGTTTCCTGTTTTTTATTTTTGTTCGGGCAAAAAGTCAAACCCACATGTGTAAACTTATCTTTAGTTATAAAAGATAAGAAAATATGTGTAGCTCAGGGTGGAGTCTGGAGTTCTCTAAGCTTGGTTTAGTTATTGCACACCAAAAATATTCAATTAAATACAAATTTCAGCTAAAAGAATGCAAATGACCAGCTGTCTGCAAGGAGTATAAATCCTTCCATTCCCCACCGTCCAGTCAGAGCTGAAGAAGCTTCTTGGATGAGAAGTGAAATGTCTTCAAAGAAAAACAAGAAAGTCCAGTTGCCTCTTGAAAAAGCACCTGTGAGACAGGTAACTAAGAATCTCTATAGACTTTCAGATGATAGTTTTTTAAAAGCTTATCCTCCAATTGGCAAAAGGCAAACCAGACTATGCATTTGGACAATGGTTGATGTATTCTAGAGGATGAACATGGGTTATGCAGGATGACAGCAGGTACTGCTGGTTAATGCTGCGCGTGCCACTTACAATTCTCCCAAAAAGTTTCCATTGCATACCACAATGACACAGATTTTGTGATAGCATAAATTGCTGTGGAATGTCAAATACACTTCAGTGGTCTCTCCCTAATTGAGCTTTACATCTTGGAAACCAACATCAGCAGGCTTGAATGAGTTACTTGGCTTCCTTTCTGTTGGAGCAATAGTTTTTCTAAGACAAAATGAACTTTAGATTTATTTCTGCTTTAATTATAAGGAAGCAAAATAATTCTGTACATTTGAGTTGAGAGGAAAAATATATAACATAAATCTGGCTCTAATTTTAGAAGGTTATTTTTAATACTAGCATCTTCATCACAGCATGGTGATTGAATAGAGCTGTTACCCCTTCCTCTTCCAGCAAACTAATGTGTAAATATATTTTTCAGGATGCTTGGGAACCAGGTTATCCTTAAAAAGGAAGAGCTGTTATAATTGGTTTTCAGTAACCTATTTACTGGAAATTAGATTACATGTAATTATCCCAGGGTGAAGTAACTCTTTATCCCCATTAATATACTTATCTAATACACATTTTAATACCATCTCTCAGTAATGTACTTTTGCATTCATTGAAATATAGGAGCACCTGTTATTGCTTTTGCATTTTGCTGGCTAAACTGACCTGAAGGCATGTGGCTTGCTGGAGGAAGAAGAATGAAATTCATGTCACTTTGTGTCAGCAGAATGAAATATGGGATGGAGTATGGATGCAATAAATCATATGCCAGCAGCCATAACCTAAATAAAAGACAACATAAAATTTGTGTAGCAGTGAAGAAGAAATCAAGCATCTGTGTAGATGGTAGAAGAGATAAGAATCCTATAACTACTTGTAACATAACTTCATAACATTCTTCCTGTGGTTTTTGCTAGATTTCACATAAGGTTTTTTCTGAAAATGTTGGCACCTCTCATCAGAAAATGGTTTATTCCACAGTAGACTCTAAGATACAACTCACTTAAAGTGGACTGTATGTTACAAATAAGAATGAATCCATATACACAAAGAAAATTTTGAAAAATTTAGATGGATGCTTACATATTTGAAGAGATATTTAAATGTGTTTGTATATATGTATGTATTTCATGTATATATATGAAAATTTCTTGCTTAGCCTATTCCTATAGAAATATAGATGTTAACAGACTATTCCTTTCTCAATACCATCTTTTCAACTCATTTTCTTCTAGTTGGGAATGGTGAAGCTCTATTTCCAGATACAAATTGTGTTCCTGAATAATACATATAAGGTGAATCAGTAGGGTATTATTTTGCTATATGCTTGATTTTATTGAATTATTTTTGATTATACATACATGTGATGTATGTGTATGTGTGTGTGTGTATATATATATATACACTTACATAAACATATATATATATATATATATATATATATATATATATATATATATACAGTATGTATGCATATTTTGTATGGCATTGTGTGTGAATGTGGGATGAGTAGGAGACCTTTTTTACTGGTTTCACTGTGATGATACATAATTAAAATTGAAAGCTGAAGTGTCTTCCTAGGTTTTTCCTTGTTGTATGTGGCATCTACCTAACTCAAAGATTGAACACATTAAAATGCAAACCTGAATATTTCTATACTGAAATTCTGCCTGCTATGACATTTAAACCTAACAATACCAACCATATATATTAAAAATAAATTCAGTGAAATAGGATTTATTCAGTGTAGTTGCATTTACAGTAGGAGTTGAAGACTTGTGGCAAACACTTTGCTCTTTGGCAGAAAATTTAAAAAATAATCAATTTATACAATAGTATCATCCTCAGGTTGGAGTTAGAATTAAATTCAGAAATAATGTTGAGCAATTTGAGCTACAGACTACAGAATGATTAAATTGCTGGTATTATGATTACTAATTTACATATTTTTTTTAATTCCCCACTTTTGATTTTTCCCCTTCATATGATCTGTCTACTTTTGTTTTCACTATGTTCTTCAAATTCAGGGAGAGTAGTTTATAGCAGCTTTCTTGTTCTCAAATATTTTCATTTCATGATTCTTTGATAAGGCATATTCATGTATAATGCTCTTCATTTAGAGTTTTCCGTCATTTTCTAGATATGTGGTAAAAATACACTCATTTTCATCATTAGTTTTATTCTTTATTCTAAGGATTAAATAATTTGCACTGGAATGGTATGCAACCAATTCTCTTTTTGTGGTAGAGCATTTGTAGAGATTCTTTAAAGTTGACTTACTTAGATGCTGGTCTTTTCTGTTGCATAATTTTTAATTTATTTAAACTTATTAATTTTATGCATGTAGAAAACTGCATAAAGGCTAGATGAATAACAACAGCAATAACAATTTCAATTCTATGTAAAAATCTACAAAACTGTTTTATAAATTATACAAAGTTTATAAAAATTAAATGCAAAATCATTCATGTTAACTACTGAAAATTTTACTGATTTTTAAATACTTAAAAATCTAAGGAAAAATATGCTTTATGTTTAACTAATCTTAAGGAATAAAGTTTTTTTTAGCACCTAATTCTTATATATATTGTTTAAAAGTAATTATTGCTCTCAAAACTCTTTTCTGTGCTTCTAAAATATTTTGCATAAAGATCAGTTTTAGAAGCCAAGAGTACTTTTATTAATTGGAAATTGTTTCTCATTAATTCAGTGTGCTTATAATGTAAACTTTATTTTATGAAAAATGAACAATACTTTCCAAATACCAAAGTGCGGTTTCCAACTGTGTTATCGTAGGGTGAACATAATATTTAAATGCTGTATATTTGCTGTAACTTTAATCTTAATACTATATTTTGATACTCCTTCCTTTTTTCTGGAAAAAGAAAATTCATTAATTTTTATATCACATTGCTACTTCAATAATGTGCCACTAAAAGCCTTTCTTAATGAGATAGGCCAGCTTTTTTCCATAACATCAGCCTAATTATCCTGTTTTGATATATATGCATTCAGTATAATGATGTCACTGAAACTTGTAATTATCTGGCTTGGATCACAAATTTTCTTAGCTTGTAAGCTTGGAAACAATTGAATTCAACATTATTTTTCTCAAAGTTGCTAACACGGCTTGAAAGGCAAAATGAGATTTAGTACATACACAGATAGGGAAGATGTATGTGGGTGCTTTTTATATTTATTTTTAGTACAGTTTCTATACCCAAGTAGTCCCAAAGGAAAGTTTTCAAGGGATTAGTGGACAAGCTCAATAAGATTCAACAAACCTATCTAGATAATTTTCTAAGCCAAAGAATAAATATGCAATGGTTTACATGACGGACACCGCAGATTCTATTTATATGCTGCACTTTGGTTTATGGTGAGAGAAAAGATTTCCTTATAAATCTGTTGTCATAAGTGCAAATCCTAGCATTCAGTGACCTATTTTCAGAATAAGCTAAGGGAATTCAATTGTATCAAAGAACAAACGGCCTTCACATAAATAAAACTTGCTACTTTTCTTAATATTTTTAAAAAAGAAAAACGAAAGTCCCAAGGCATGTTTTTGCACAAGACCCAAGGGGAACTATATTCAAATCATTTAATTATGAAGCTAATTAGATTATATGGGCCAATGACATCCTCTCTATCTAGAATCGTTTACATATATGTTATAAAAAGAATCCCTAAGATCCACAGGAAAACAATATAATAAAAAAATCAGTTAATCGTTTTTTTAAAAATAATGACTTTGTTTCACAACACTTTCCAAATTTACGCTTTGTTGGTAGCATAAGTAAATATTCATTGGGGTATGCATTAAATGAAAAAAAAAAGGCTCATTCCAGAATGATATACTTTATCTAGAACAATTAATCAGTGGAACTACTTGCCTCCAGAAGTTCAAACACTGGAACTTTTTAAGAAGAGATTGGACAACCATTTGTCTGAAATGGTGTAGGGTTTCCTGCCTGAGCAGGGGCTTAGACTATAAGACCTCCAAGTTCCTTCCAACTCTGTTATTCTATTCTATGTGATATATTTGGTCCAGCCAATACAGAGCCTGCACTTCCATTTATTTTTATTTTTTTTAGCTGCCAAAGGACAGAAAAATAATCAACAAAGAAGCCAAACCAACAGCATTTTCACACACAATCAGATTCTGTTAGCAGGCACTGCAGCTGCTGGTGCCACGCTGTGCCTGTCAGATTGCTCTTCAGTTTGACCCACTACTCATGATCATGAAACCATGTTGGCTAAGCTGCTATGCTTATTAGTGGTACGGATGTCTAAAGTGAATGCAATTTAAATCGAGCACTCTGCTACTAGCAGCAAACATTTGTTCCCTGAGTAACTTATACAGTTAGATTATTGTCTGCTTGATAAGGATGGTGGTACTAGAAATATGGTAGCAGGAACATCTGAAGAGACCCAAAGTGTGAAGGGGTAAAACCAGGACCGTTCTATTGCAATGAAAGCCCACCCTATTTTTATATGTGACATTGCACACATGCTCAAAGAGATGGACTCTGCAGAATGGTTTTGTAAGCTATTTTGTAAGCTATTTGGCAATCTTGCATCCTTCACCACGAAGAAGGATTGGTTGTGCAAAGCCATCATCTGCATTACAGATGACTTCAAACCTTCACCGACAACCAGCCCTTGAAAGCTGCTTTATGCACATGAAAGTAAATCTACGTGGTTTGAAGTGATTGTATGTTATATTACCTCCAGGCTTGCAGTGTTTTCTGATTCATGAAAATAAGCTGTCTGCTGGAATATTTGGCTTGCTGCCACCACCACCAGCAATGATGGCCTTAGATTCATACAGGATCACCGTTCCTGATCTCAGTACCTTGGTGGTTAATGGAAGGAACTAGGTTAACTCAGCAAAGAGTTCAAAAGTCCCTTCCGCAGCATTGTTCCTTTTCTTAGTTTCATCATAATGCCAGGTGACTGCACAACTCTGACTGCAGGTCCTATGTCATATTTTCTACTTCCATGACCAGTTTCATAAGCAGACAATTAGATATGCACATGAGTTTAACAAGCAATGCAAGCATCTACAGTGAGTCAAGCCCAGTCATAGCAATCCCCTGCCTTTATTTCTAAGTCTCTCATCAACAGCTGCCAGATGGTCAGTCCTCCATTGCTATACTCCAGCCCCTAAGGAATTCTGCCTAGCAACATAAGCATTAGCTGCATATCTTAAAGCTAATTTCTCTTGAAACATGTTTCATTCTGAGCATAGAACACTCAAAATTGTTCTTACTTGAACCATTTGGCACATCTCTGTTATTTGGCACATTTATTTTATATGCATACCACCTTTCTTCCTTCATGTCATAGATAAAATTTTGAACCAACTTTTTATTTGGAATTAGATCAGACTCCACACCAGTTAAATTCAGTAAATCAATCTTATTTCATACTCTCCAACCTTGTTTTACAGCCAGATATTAAACTGATTAATATCTGTCTTCCTATTGTTCATATTTTAAAATTACTTAATCATTTGTCAGATCTGGTCAAATCTCTGGTCAAGCCTTGGTACTACAGTGGTTTAAAGCACCCTGTTATTAACACAGCTGCCTGCAATTTACCGCTGGTTCGAATCTCTCCAAGGCTCAAGGTTGACTCAGCCTTCCATCCTTTCTAAGGTAGGTTAAATGAGGACCCAGTTTGTGGGGGCAATAAGCTGACTTTGTATAAATATACAAAAGTATGAAGGCTATTGCTGAATGCACTGTAAGCCGCCCTGAGTCTCCGGAGAAGGGCGGCATATAAATCAAATTAAAAAAAAAAAAATGTAGAGATGTGACTGCTGCTTACAATAGAAGACAGACATGTACTGACAGAGCTTGAGAAATTTCCTAAGAATAGCTATTGGATTTTCTTTTTCTGAGATCCCATTATAATTTCAAAAGCCAATTGCCATATTTCAGAAAGCTGAAATACATTTTGTTCTTTCAGTCCTTTGGAGCTTGGTTAATTAAAATTTTAAGTTAAGATAATTCAGCTACTTGATGTTTTGCATATGTTGTATAAGCTAATTTTAATGATTGACTTATACTTTTATAACAATTTCTGAACAATAGTTCTTCTATTATATAGCAGCACAAGGAGATCAAAATCTTTATTTCTATTATGGACCAGCATACAAGAAAAAGTTATACCCATTTCAATACAGGTAAATCCCTGGGTTAAGAACATTCCCTTTAGCGAATGTTCGAAGTTATGCGATAAGTGCCCTCTATCATTTATGAACAAGTGCCGAAATTATGAATATTGCATCTTCACAGCAGTTGTTCCCTCTTACGAACAACCACAGAGATTCTGCCTTGCATATTCCCCTGCTCCTGGCCAGGTCTTCACAGACACTTCGCCTGTGGAGACTCACTTACCTTGCAAAGATCTCCTCTCTGTCGCGGTTTCTTTGCCTGCTTCATTGCTTCAAACTTTCGGTGCATTTATAGAGAACAGGCCTAAGGTTAAGGTGACCAGACGTCCCGCTTTTGGCGGGACAGTCCCGCTTTTGAGCAATTTGTCCCGCGTCCCGCGGCGTTTTAAAAAAGTCCCGATTTTTCATTCTGCCTCCTGAATCCCCGCTGCTGGCTAGAGGGAAAAAACCTGTTTAAACTCTTGCCGCGGGGCTTCAAAGGGCCGACCTACGTTGATTAGCTCGGCTTCCCCCTCTCAGCTGATTTGCGCAGGGCTCTGCTCTTCCTAAATTGCTCCAGCAGTTTTTTTTTTCTCTTTGTGCAAACCAAGCTCAAAACGAAAGTGAAACTGGCTGTTGGCTTTGCTGTTTGCTTGCAATGTTGGAAAATTAGGCAGCAGATTTATTTTCCTTTTCCTCACCAAAAAAGGTAGGTGTAAACAATGGGAAATTATTTAGGGCAAAAGAGGAGAGTTCAAGATTTTAAAACACAAAAGAAAAAAAAGCTCTTTTTAACTAGGGAATTGTAATAATTGAGATACTATTAATTGTATACTGTGTTGAAAGCAGAAATGGTTAAGTTGTGGTTTGGAGGAATATATGGGGGAAATTATTTGGTTTATTATTATTGGTAAGTATAATTAATTGATTTGTAAGAAATTGGATTGCATGGAAATAATAGGAATATTCATGTTCATATTGATTAATATACAAAAAAGATAGTTATATAACTAATTGATTTATATTAAAATGTTGAATTTGTATTAAACAACTGTATTACATAATTACATAATTAAACAATGTGAGGATGGATATAAAAATAGATGACAATGGGAAGGGGTATAATATAGAATAGAAGGGAAAAATTGAATTTGATTAAGATTAGAGATGAGGATGAAGGGTAATATTGTTTTTTTTAAAAAATAGATGAGGAATAAATATGGCAAAAAGGAAATATAGAAATTGTAAATTTAATTGAAATGACTAAACACTGTTTAAATTTGTGAACCAGCCAAATATTCTGTTCAAAGAAAATACATTGTATGTATGTGTGTTTCTAATTATTGCTATTTATTCATATTTGTTCTCTTTTATTCTTTAAAGTTTAACAATTCATTCTTTATCTTAATATCTTTATATTTGTTTGGGGTTGGCTTTCTTCCCTTTCATCTTTTTTATTGTACAGCAATCTTTCTCCTCAAACCTACCACCTCTCTTTTCTTTCCTTCTTACTTTCTCTTCCCCCCACCCTCTTTTTCTCCTCCCTACTTCCTCTTCCTTTCTCCTTCTCCTCCTCTCTTCCTCCCTCTCTTAACCGTCACTCCTACTCTAATTTCCCTTCCCTTCCTTCATCCCTCTCTATTACTGTATCCTTTTATGCATATGGACTACTCAGAGGGCTGAAAAAGTTATTTTTGACTGGTCCTCGCACTTTTGACCAGTCCTCGAACTTACGACTGTCCTCACATTTTACATTTTTGCCCTATCTTGTCATCATGGTGAAGAGAAGCAGTTGTGAAATGAGTGACATGGTTGTAAAGAATGCTGCACGGGCATAAATGTGAGGATGGTCATAAGTGTGAGGACCAGTCAAAAGTGCGAGGACCTGTCAGAAATGACTTTTTTCAGCCCTCTGGTTAGTCCTTTTGTGCATATGGACTATTCAGAGGGCTGAAAAAGTTATTTTTGACTGGTCCTCACACTTTTGACCAGTCCTCGAACTTACGACTGTCCTCACATTTTATGTTTTTGCCCTATCTTGTCACCATGGTGAAGAGAAGCATTGTGAAATGAGTGACATGGTTGTTAAGAATGCTGCACGGGCATAAATGTGAGGATGGTCATAAGTGTGAGGACCAGTCAAAAGTGTGAGGACCTGTCAGAAATGACTTTCCAGCCCTTTGAGTAGTCCCTATACACATAGCCATGGCCACCCGGTCACATGACCAGCTAGCCACGCCCACCCAGTCACATGGCCTCCAAGCCACGCCCACACAAGCCACGCCCACAATGGTGTCCCTCTTACCAATGTTAAAATCTGTTCACCTTACCCTATACACATAGCCATGGCCACCCGGTCACATGACCAGCTAGCCACGCCCACCCAGTCACATGACCAGCTAGCCACGCCCACAAAATAAGCTACGCCCACAATGTCCCTCTTTACCAATGTTAAAATCTGGTCACCTTACCTAAGGTACTACGATATCATGCGAGATCAGTAGCGTGAGATCTCGTTTTTTGCAAACAGAGTTCAGTCCTTCCCTCTGTTTGCCATTTCCTAGCTGAAACCTGCAGGGAGATCGCGTTCCAGTAGGCTTTTGCAGCCCCTTGCAAAAAGCCTCTGTTTGGCACCAGCAGAGCTTGCGAGGGGCAGGCGCCTCCCTCTGAAGCTCTGTTCCTACTGGCAAAGGCTTTTTTGAAAATGATGCCTTATATTCATAATCTAAGGCCTACAAGGACGCAATCCTCAAGTGCTTTGCCACTGAGAAAAGAGGCCCGGAGATGCTCATGAGGCCCTCCAGGCCTCCTTTCTCACCAGAGATTTGCTTGAAGAGGCCTCTGGCAACAAAAAAGGAGGCTGGGATGCCTCTGTGTGGCCTTCCGGGCCTTCTTTTTCATCACCAGAGGCCTTGTCAAGCGGATCTCCGGCAAGAAAGGCCCGGGAGGCCGTGCGCAGGGCTCCTTTTTCGTTGCTGGAGGCCTCGTCAAGCAAATCTCTGGTGAGATATTAAAACATTAACCTAGCTCTATAAAATTCTTAATATTATTACTAATGGACTAAAGATGGGCACCATGGAGGCCACAAAAAGGATATAAAAACAGATAAAGATAAAAATAAAAGAAGAATTCTCAGTAACCCACGCAGTACTCCTAATTATCTGTTTGTTAATTTTAATTGCTGGTAGGCAAAATCTAATGATAATAAATAGTTCCTTGTCTGAGACGATAAAAAAAAAAAAACCCTTTCATTACGACCTATAATATGTGTCAATAAAGGAAGGTCAAAAGTTTATTTAATGACACTGGTAAACAGGAAAAGTGTAAAAGCTTATGCATGATGGTCAACAGCATTCATGTTACATTAACAGGCTTTTGGGCAAATGAGGACTTTGATAAATTTTTCCTTACGACTTTCAGAGGTAAAACATCAATTCTGCCTCTGAGAAAGTCTCTTTGCTGTGCAGCCAAGATTGAAGTAATCAAGTATCTTCCCAGTTCCCAGCTGAACAAGTTGTGAAAACTCTTAACATAGATTGAAATATGACTGACCTCATTCTGCAATTCTGCTTCAAAGACTCTATCTTTAATTATTCTTTTGGCTGAGTGCTTTCCAAAAGGATCAATTGTTCAAACAGTAACTTTTGCCAAAATTGCATGTTGCCATGAAGATTTAAATTGGTGCCCCAAATCTATCAGTATAGATGGAAAACAGTAGCATTTGAAATAATAGGTAAATGTTAATAGCTGTGCTCTCAAGCTTCATTTTTGTTTCACTACTTCCTTTCTGAACATCACATTGGATACACATCTAGGCACTTGTAAAAACTTCACAAAAACTTTTTTAATGGCTTCAAGTGATTTATAGTGAGGGATTTATTCAACTGAGTGTCATGTAACAGTTTGGCCAAGGATTTTTCTCTAAAAAGTTTTGGGTTGCTTGTATGCATTCCTACCATTTGTCTGAAAATAATTAATAAAACTTTCTGTACTCCTTTTGTCATTGTGAATGTGCATCTTCTAAAAGATGCAATTGGAGCAATACGCCCAATACCTAAAATCTTTATTCTGTTTTCCTTCCCTTCAAGTATCCATTTGAATATTTTGCATTGGTATGTAAAGTAAACTACCAGTGTAGTTTTCCGCTCCTTAATTACCAGTAGGTTTTCTTTGTAGAAAGACTGAAAGCAGTGAGTGCTCACCTTACCTGGCTGGATTGAGGCAGACTGATTAAGAAGGCAAGAAAAAAACTAAGGAAGTAGATAGGCCTCCTGACATCATTAAATCATTATCTTGCTTTCTCTTCCAAATGAAGGCACAGCTAACTGAAATTTAATACAACTTGTTGTATCAAATCATGAATCTTTCAAATCATGACCCACATCTTTTGCCATATCATTTGTATTAAGAAAAGTAAGAGACTGTTTATATATTTATAAAAGTAAAAGTTAAAGGATTCCTGTGGATTTTACCCAGCTAGTTGTTGTTGACTATAGGAACTGAACTCATCTCCATTTCAAGACAAGTGAGCCAGTACTGCCTGAAGATATTTCCAGTCATGTGGCCAGCATGACATCATGGAGTGCTGTTACCTTCCCATTGAAATGGTACCTATTTACCTACTCGCATTCACATGCTTTCAAACTGCTAGGTTGGCAGTAGCTGGGATGAGGATGGCAGTTCACCCCATGTGGAACTCAGGTCTTGAACCTGGGCTGCTGACTAGAGAGAGAATTGCTATTTATCAAGTTATCCATGCTCTCTCTTTACATAAAAAGTGTATATGTGTAAAACTGCACTAGAGCATACATTTCATAAGCAAAAAACTGCTAATTCTTTCTATGTTCCATATGTTGTTACGATCAGAATTGGAGCAATCTATTGCCTGACAAAAGCATACAATAATGGATTTTTTAATGTATAATAACATAATAATTACACAATCCATATAGTTTAACCCTAAATTTACTAGTGTCCAAAAAACCATTTTCAAATCTCACCCACTTACCATGTACCATTTTGTTTGTCTATATACAAACATGTTTAATTCTGGATTTGGATCAATATGGCATTAGTTTTGGACTAGACTAATAAACAAAAACACACTTTTGAATATTAAATTTAAATATCTTGGTTTCCTTCATGATGATAATAAAGAACTGTTTTTTCTAATATAGTTAGCTTTATGCTCTGTTTATTTCTATTGTTTCGATGGAGAATACTTTCCAAGGTTAATGTACAATGTTATAATATGTATAACACTATAATAAATATTTCAAATGCTGACATTTATAATAAATGCTAACATATCCCTGTCAGTATTTGTGAATATCTTAAACAAAAGAACAATGAATATGATTATACATGAAAATGCCAGCATTCTCTAGTGTTATGTCCAGAAATGTTGAGTACTAGTAGAATACTGGAATTCATTATACTTCATTCTGGTTTGCTGTTTTAACAACTTGTGTTTCACATTTCAATATCAAAAACCTCAAATTAGATTTCTAGCAGTTTAGAAAGGTAACAAATTTGTGTTAATTCAGTTAATTGCACAGATTAAAATAATACCAACAAAAATATAAACTTCAGCAAAAGAGAATAACTGGAATACAAAGACTAAGTAAGAGATAAAGACGGTCAGAACTCAAATAGTACTATTAAGTAGCATTGTTAAGTAGCAATAGTAGCAATAAAAGGAAGTTCCACTAGATTTCCCAATGTGTTAAGTTTCTGAAAGCATAGATGCATAGAGTAATGCTACCAATGAGGAATATTCATTTATTAACATAAACTAATCTTGGGAATGATAGGCAGGCAGGCAGGCAGACAGACAGAAAATGAAGATATTGGAAAAGTCTTCATTGGGTATATCCAATTCCTGCTGACTCCTATTGATCATAATTCCAGAAGCAGATGTTGCTGCCTGTGGGAGATTTTAAAATAATTTGTAGGATGTACTTAAAACACTAAAACGTACAGTTCAGAGAAATATTTCCCTTATCCTCCCAGCGCATTTCTACATTTGGATATGTCAAATGTCTTGCTCTGATACATTTCTAAAAATCCTTACTTGGCTGGTGTTATAAATATCTGAGTAATAAAACTGAATTGTGTCAAGTAGAGAAACATACTTGGGAGGTAATGAATTGAGGCCGGGCAGACACGGGCTGTTGAGGGGAGTAAAGTCAGCACTGTTGGCTCTGCAGAGCAACCATTTACTACAAGGAGAGAATGAAGCTTATGTGCATCCAAGGCAAAGGTGAAATTCACTTACCTTCCCTACCGGTTCGCAAATGTGCGTGCACTGCACGCATGCTCGCTTTTACTCGCTTGTGCTATCGTCTGCACATGCACAAAGCCTTTTGCACATGTGCAGAGGCTTAAAATGTCTCAAAAAGTAACGTCATCATGTCTGCATGGGTGGGCGGAGCCTCCCACAGCTGCCACTGCTGGTTCGCCAGAGCCAGATAGAACCAGCTGAATTTTACCCCTGATCCAAGGGCTATTTCCAACCCAGAACTTGGAGAATGAGGCTTATATGAGTAATCATGGCTTTGGAAAGTGAGCTAGATGGGAGAAAGTCTGAAAAGTCATTCTGGTGTCCTTTGCATTTTGCTAGCCTGACTCCCATGTGGCAGAGCAAGAAGAGAATTCATATTTCCAAGGATTTTAAGATATATAAAATATATGCTAAAAGATGATAAATAAAGCAAAAAAAATGTAATAATACACAATATGTTTTCATGTTCTATGTTTATAGAAAGGTCCTTGGAAAGATGCTGTGCTGTATGTTCCTATATATTGGTATACTTCTATCATGGGTGGGGGTACAGGCTCTACTACTGAGTAACATGAGGGAATGGAAAATAATAAATATTGAGAAATACTAGTATAAGTAATGGGTAATCTAGAGAACATATGATCTTTTGCATATTGGCAAAATAGAGAAAGAACCTCTTTGGTGATACTGTGCTACTCTAAGATTGGTCTCTCTGCATCTCTTTGATAGTGCAGGATCGGCTTACAAATCTAATATGGTGGTCAAATGCAAATTGCAAGTAGATTTCTTTTTGAAAGATACGTTAGAGCATCGGTGTCAAACTCAATTTCACTGAGGACCGCATCAGGGTTAGGTTTGAGCTCGGGGGGGCCAGGGTGGGCGTGGCCAGGGTCAGTATGGCCAGCTTGGCGTCACTCATGTCAAGGCTCCTGTGAAGGCCTGTGCACTCTGCCAGCGAAAATGGGCTCTCGAGCTCCATTTTCGACTGCAACAGCATCCTGCAACCCTCTCCCAGTGAAAATGGAGCTTTGGAGGCCCTGCGCATGGCCCTTGCGAGCTCTGTTTTCACTGGCAGAGGCACGGTGGACTAGTCCTTTGCTGTTTCCAGGGCAGCCCCATGGGCCAGATCTAAGCACCCTGCAGGTCTGATCTGGCCCCCGGGCCTTGAGTTTGACACCCCTGTGTTAGAGTGAATATAATTTTACATAATCTTATATACCCATATATCTAGCTAGGTGCCTAATGTTCAAGTTACTTT